AATAGATAGAGAGCTTCTGAAATTATTATTATTTTTTTTTTAAAGCACAATTTTTCACTATCGTCTCATTATTTTGCTCATGTATTTAGGTAGACATGAGCTGCATGTGCTTTGGAAGACTCCCAACCTTTACAGCTAACAAGCTGAGATTGCTTAGACTAGAGTAAAGTGCAAGGCACAGCCTCACACATCTTAAACTCCTCACAGGATCAGAGATAACACACAAATCAACATCTACAAATATCTTTTGTACCAGGTACAGACTGGGGGGTTAGCCCTGAATAGGTAACACTATTCCATTAGGGTTTTGCATGAAGTTTCATTTGTATGAGATCTAATCTTGATCTCATCACCCTAACTTTTTTTTTTCCCTCCAAGTAATGCAGTCTTTGAGAACACATCTATATGGAAATTAGTTCTGAAGACTATTGTAATAAATACCTGCCAAGTCCATAATACTGGTAGAATTTTCATTTCTCAAATATGAAGAATAGGATTAAGATACGGTAAATTAAAAACTATTTTTAAACTTTCACACTACTAAACAATGTACCAATACACTTTCTTTATTTAATGAAAGTTATCATCCAAATATCAAATAAATAAGACAGTTCAGCCATTACCTTTCTACCAGCAATTGCTGTCAAGTACAGGCAGTAATGCTAGGACTCCTATGAGATGTATATGCATGTATGTTTATTTAAACGTGCCTTTGATAGAATCATAGAATATCCCAATTTAGAAGGGACCCAGGAGGATCCTCAAGTCCATCTCCTGGCTCCATACAGAACCACACAAGACTCTAACCCTGTGTCTGGGAGCGCTGTCCAAACACTACTTGAACTCTGGCACTTGGGGCCAAGCCCACTGCCCTCTGGTGCAGGACCTTTCCCTGACCCCCCTGACACTGGTCCATGCCGTTCCCTCAGGCCCTGTCTCTGTCACAGAAAGCAGAGCTCAGCACTGCCCCTTCACTCCCTGGGAGGAGCTGCAGACATCACAATGCCTCCGCTTAGCTCCTCTGCTCAGGGCTGAGTAAACCCAGAAGCCTCAGTGCTCCTCACATACAATGTTCTCCAGACCCTTCCCCATCTTTGTTACCTCCTTTGGAGGCTTTCTAATAGTATTACATCCTTCTTACAGTATAGTGCCCAAAATTGCACCCAATGCTCAAGGTGAGCCCACAGAGTGCAGTGGGACAACCCTCACTCTTGGCCAGGTGGCAGTGCTGGGCCTGATGCTCCCCAGGGGACACTCTGCCCTTTGGCCGCTGGGGAACACTGCTGGCTCAGATCTAACATGCCATCAGCCAGAATCCCCACATCCCTTTCCATGGGGCTGCTCTCTGTACCCTCAACCCCCACTCTGTCTGTATTTATATCCAGAGCTGCCCCATCCCATGTGCAGAATCCAACACTTGGTTTTGTTAAACATCATGAGGTTGGTGATTGCCCAGCACTCCACCTTGCTCATTTGTAAGGCTTCTCCACCCCGAAAGGTCAACAGCTGCTCCCAGTTTAATATCACCCACAAACTTACCCAGTTTTCCTTTCTGGCTTTTCTAAAGCTCAGTGCTCCTCTGATTTACAACCTCTTGCTCTGGTCCCTGCTGCTGTGGTGCGAGCAGCTGATCTCAGTCCACAGGTGGGGCCCATACTTCTCCAGAGACTACGCTGGGGCAGGACTCTCCTGTGACCTCCTGGCAGCCTGAGGGGACAGACTGTGACTCTTTAACTCACAGAATAGCTGAAAAGTTACAGAAATATCAAAGCTATCAGTATAACACAGGATGAAGCTTTTGTGCTCTTTAACTGAGCAGATTGCTCTGTGTAAGCAGCAGGAGTTTTGCTCGCCTGAAAACTAAAGAATTTGGCTTGGAATGTATAAGCATTTATGAATTTACAAATTTATAGAGTCAAATTAGAAAGCTCTTGTATACTACCAATTATTTCTGGCTATTTGGCTTCTTCCTCTTCCAAGGCAGGTTAGCACAGAAAAAAAACACTATAATCTCACTGGCCTCTATTTTGGCATGACAACCAGGAGCAGAGCTGTCACTGAGCTGTTTATTCAGGCCAAATTCCCAGGAGGCCACCACACAGCCCTCCCTCCCTCCCCATCCTGTTGTGGTTTCTCTTCATCTCTACTATAGCTGCTTATACTTTGGTTCCTGCAGGAATCAAATTTAATCTGTTTCAGTATATTTTATGCTTCACTGATTTATTCAAAGCTGAATAAAAGCATTGCAGTACTTACGTTTCCTATTTTATTTTGGGAACTGTATTATTAGTAGCACCATTCAGTTACTAGAATAACTCGAGTCAAGCAGATTAAAAACCCAAGCTACACCTGTGCTATTCAGCTTGCACTTCAATCTTATCCACTACATTAAATAAGGTCTGGATAAAAATGAGACAGATTAACCTATCATTCGACTTACAGAAGTGTCTTTGTGGTAAAAGAAGATCCAGTTCTACAGTGAGTCTGGTAAATTTTGCCCTTCTTTTGCTGGAAAATATCATCTCTGTACCAAACTATTCCATTGCATTAAAAAAACAAAATAGTCTTCTTGAGCTCTACAGCAGAAAAGTAGTTGAATACATACCTAAAGAAAAGAAGAATACTGTATTACTTGTTTGATTGATAGTACCAAAAAAACAAAAAAGCTTTTTCTCAGTTTGATTTTTGTTTTACAACCTATAGAATTATTATTCAAGACTCATGAGATTCCTCCATTTCAATTTCCAGTCGCACTCTGGTGTTCTGTAAGGATTTTTGTTTGTTTGTTTTAATACAAAATTAAAATGAGTAAAGGATGAAAATAATAAAAAATATATAAGAACAATCTTAACATAGCATGCATATTTGTATATATACATACATGAGATGATCAGCTAGTAAATATTTTATTTTGCTTTGTATAGGGTAGAATATAACTAGATGAGCTCAGATAGATTGAACAATAAAACAAACATGACAAAATGGGTTTTAAGTCAGGAAACAGAACAGTAAAGCAATTTCCTGAGTTATTTAAATGCTTTCATTGGAGAAATGTCATTACATACTTGAATTACACTGGAATATAATTATATAAACACCACAAATAACAATGTTTTACCAAGAAAAACAGAAGTTAAGAGAGGGGAATTATTTCCTGCCATTTTTCTTAATTTTAAGAAACGTTCTAGATGTTAAGATATAAATCAAAAGAAAGGTTCTATATTTACTTTAGGAGTCCATTTCCTTAACACTTATAAGCACATACTTATCTTTAAGTATCTGATATGTAAATAGCTCTGTACATGTAGTTCCTCACAAGCTTATACAGGCCTTGGTGACCTTAATCAGAAGCTTAGCTCCAAAATTTTGTGTCACCGAGAATGCATGTGAAGAGAAAGCTTTTGAGCAATTAATTGTAATCTTTTCACAGGTAAAGTCAGAAGACTTGCATTCCTCCTAGCTTTCATATTAAATGTGTATATCTTCACAAACATCTCCCCAGTCTTACTGATGTGGTTTCAGACAGATATTAAATTTAATACAGTTGTGCCACTTATATTTTACTATCCATCTAAACCCAGTAATTGAGAGAGTAGGATTGGACCCTCTCTCAGCAGCAAAATATGCACCAAAATTGGAAAGCCATCTGTGACATTTCAGATGTGGTGCTCAGGGACATGATTTAGTGGAGGGTTGTTAGTTTGAGTAGTATGGTTAGAATGTGGTTGGACATGATGATCTTTAAGGTCTTTTCCAGCCTGAGCAATTCCATGATCAGCCCAAACAACCTCAGTTCAAATCAGGTGCACACATTATACCTAAATGCCCCATAGCAATATTATTATTCTGGTGGGACTTTAAGCTATACTCAAATCCACTCTAAATTTAAAGGAGGTATTCATGGACAAAATTTCAATTTAAATATATGTAATTCTTCATTAACTAATTCTTAAAACAGCATGTCATGACCAAGCAACTCACTTCCTCAAACTAATTTCTGTCTTAAATTTAGCATTTAGGGAAGATTAGCTGCAAGTAAGTGTTGAGGAATCATCTCCAAAGCACATAACACCAAACTGAAACAGATCCGTACCTATTCTCTCCACTTCTGTAGTCCTTACCAGTAACATTTATATTCAGAAAATGAGCTGGAGACAAGACAGACTAAATCTTAGTCTATCCCAGTTTTTCTCCATTCCCACATCAGTCAGCCATTGATGTTTGGCTGGCTTTCTTCCCCAGAGGCAACACTGTTTTCCATAGTGTTCTGGTGGATCCCTAACTGACCAGGAGCTCTAAGAATTGACGTTCTTGATGCCCTGTGTGTCTCAGTTTTTTTTATTTGTAGGAAAAAAAAAAAAGAATAGACAATAATGTCTGTCTATTTAATCTGTTTTTTTAGGGGATATTATCTTCGAATACCAAGGGTATTCAAAATACCAGGTTTTCAAAATGATCCCTAAGTTAAAATTTCTTACTTTTTAGGAATTACTAATTTACTAGATATTATTATCTTACACTTGTAGGAAATGTTCCAAGTTATATCTGAAATTGATGTTTGTCTTGCTTCTGAGATCCTTGTTCGTAAACTTACTAGAAGCTGAAATTATATGCATGAAATGTCATATCATCCGTATGGAAGATTCAGTTTGTTTTTGTTTTGGATAGAAAAAAAGAAAAAATACCCATTTATGCTTCAAATGTTTGCAAATATAATAGTGTCTTTTAAAAAAATTACGTGGGGTATTTAAAACACTGTTAACCTAGCAAAGGTCTTTGAGAGCTTTGTTTCATCATAGAGAAATGATACAGTAACATTAAAAGAAAGGAAAAAAAAGTCAAGTTAGACTACTATAATCCCTCAGAACAGAGAACTGCTGTTGAAGATAAATCAAGTACATGGAGAAATAAGGTAAAGTATTATACTATTTGAGGGAAAAAAAGGCAATAATATTCCTTCTCAAGTAATGGCATATATTCTTGCCCATCAATAGGAACAGTTTTTCCTGCACAGTACATTTATTTATATCTCAGAATGAAAGCTATGCATGCGCAGCAGGGAATAGAGAAATCTGATGTGTTTCTATTATGAAGAGAATCTATACTTACAATTACCAAGGATTCAGATTGAGCCCATTTTAAAATACAGCCTGTCCTTAAATAAACCAGTCCATTCAATCAATAAATGTCAAGTCAGGTAGAGACAGAATTTTTGGAAATTCAAAAAGTGGAGCATGGAGGTTATTCGTTTACCACCAACAAAACTTGCTGGTGGAGGAAGTCCCATCTACAGTCTGGCTTGTGTGAGAGAGTACATACATACATAGGTTCACTTTGCTATCTTTAACAGAACTGTTCACTTGACCAGCTTACAGAAAAGCAAACTATACAGAAAGAGTCAGCACAAAGATTACACATCTGATGCACACTGTATTAATTCCATATCATGTCTGGGTCTCCAGAAGTATCCTCTCAGAAAGAGTGAAGATCTGACATACAGAAACAGTAGAATATTCCAGGCATAAAAGAGAAAAATTAGAGAAGATGTAGGAGTGCCAAAAAACTGAAGCAAGTTTTTGCATTTGGGAATACTAGAGAATGGAGATTTGGATTCAAAAGTAAAATATTTCTTCTTCCTGAACAGTCTATTAAAGCAGTATGACATTTCCATAGCAATAGGTTTGGAAGGTACCCAGTTGTGTGTGGACAATCTTCAGCAGCTAGCAGTGGAACACAACGGGACTTTATAATTTACATCATTAATAACAATGTTTTTCATTACTAAATCCCACATGGACTTGTTTTAATACACACTGTCATAAGGACTCCAGAAGTTTTATGTTTGCCACATAGGCACAAGTGCAAGTGGAACTATGTGACAGTAGAGGGCAGGGTGAGAAAAAGCCGAATAAAGAGGAAAAAATTGTAGAGAAAAATCACATCAGACTCAGAGGACAAGACTTCTCATGGAATTTGTTCAGCTTGCAAAGGCCACAAAGCTTAAATCTTGAACACTTCAGAGTTGGTTATAGATGGAGCCATTCCCATTTTTGGTCAAACAGAGTTTAAGGCTGTAAACAGCCAGGTTTCCTGTGGATTTTCTGCAGGAGGAAAGGATAAGAGAGTTAAAGTCATCCCTGCAATGTCTCTGCATGTGGCTCCATAAATATGCTTCAACCACTTGAGAAAACTCTTTCCAATCTTCCGCTCCTCTATACTTAAATCTGCACGCCCACCTAACTTCCAGGAATGAACTAGGTTTATTTTTATGTCCAGATTAACAACATTTAGGTATATAACATTATCTCTTCTGTGTAGAGGGAACAAACTCAAGGATAGAAGTACCTCATACTTCGACAAAATAAATGACTTCATATGTTACTTATAATCAAAATGAGGGATTTCTTTCAAAAAAATCAACTATTTTTTCATCTTGCAGCTTCCTTTAGTGCACAGAATAAAAAAAATGAATTTAAAAAGTCAATTAAATGAGACAAAATGAAAAAGAACAATGGAAAGCAAGATATTTTTCAAAAAAATTTCTCTTATGCACATCCTGATACTTATTAATATGAAGGTATCTCCAAAAGTAATGCCTCCTATTTATTCCCATGGAAACTGCAACAGATAAAAAGAGCAAAATAACACTACTTGATAGAGCAAATCCCATGTAACCTACTAGAGAACCTCTTTTAGCAGGGGAGTTGGAAAAGACCATCTCCAGAGGGACCTCCATTCAAACCCTTACTACTCTGTGATTTTGCAAATGCCTAAGCTACATCTTCCTTGTAATTTCTTTGCTAACTTCAGGAGCCGCAGAAAGATAGCATAGTGTCATGCAAAAATACCTATGCCCTTCAGAGTTAAGACATGTGATACATGTATAAAAGAAAGGATCATCCCTGTTTGACGACAGATATTGCTCATGCTGTTAATAGAAAATAAGGTGTTCTCACAAGAGCTAACAACAGAAGAATAAGCCCAATTTTCTCTCTACCATAATAATAGCACCACTGTTATCCATGCCTTATTCAAATGGTCTTGGCTTCTGTAGTTGTGAGCATCCATGCAAAGAGCTTTACGTCTTGTATTGGTTTGTAATGTGAAGCCTTGATAAGGTGGTAATATAACTTTCACTAAACCCTCTCAGGCGCTTCTTATGCTATGTATAAGGAGAATATCTTCAGTCAGCAGATATAGCTCACACTGCTCTAATGCACTACAATTTACGATTTGCACAGTTCAGGATTATAGGGTTGTCATTAGCTGTGGTTATAATAAGTGGACAAGGCAATTATTGCAGACACCTTGTAAAGATTCATTGATAGGAGACAGGTTATATCCATCTTGCTGGGGACAACATGGTAAGGGACTCTATATGGAAAGTTCCTCTGGTGACATGCAAATAATGGATTGGATAGAAAAGCACATGGGAGTTTTTAATACCAAGTAAGCAAACTCTTGAAGTTTTTAATTCATTTTAAACGTGCTGGTAAGTTCATTAATATGTTTGAAGCAAGTATAAAAACCAGTCTCTACTTCTGCACACTCTCATCCAGAGAAGCACTAACTGTCCATGGTAACCTCAAGCAAACATGAATACTAGCAAGAATTTAACCACAGCATCACAGGCTTGCCTGAGACCATACCATTTGAACAGACAGAGACCTACTGAAGTATTTTCCTATTATCTTGATTTTTCTTTAACCCAATTCTTGTTTCCTTCACAAAGTTCTCCGGCTTAAGCTGGCAGAGGTACTACAGGGCAATGTTGGAGGCTGATATTTCTGCTCATGCATTAACAAGGGGACAACCTCTTTAAATTCTCCCTAATGCTAATTAAATCCCTAAGCTAAAATTACCAGTTGATACCAAAATTTTATAATTTAAGAGTATATTTTGTCATTCTAGCAACCTTGAACAAAGTTATTTCATGTATCTGCTTTGCTAGAGATTGTCTTACATTATGACTTTCCTCCTCTTAAAGTCAAAGTACTTCTGACTTCTGTCTCCAGAAGTGCTCCTTTATTGTTCAGCTGCCTGTTGTATTTATCCATCCCTTAGGAAAGAGTTAAAGGAGTAAAGAGTAAAACATCTACAATTAAATTGCTCTTTAACTTGCCGCTGCCTCTTGGCAACTGCAGGTTGTAATTCACTTCGGGAAGAATAAATAATGTAGGGTTTTACATTCATATTTTCAGTAGAAAAGGAATGCTGGGAGTCACAAATTGCTGCTGAAAAGATAAGCATATTCAAGGACTAAAGATTATAAAGACAAATCTCTCGTAAGTGTCTCTAAGACAAGAAACACTTCAAAAAATAAACAAAAAACCTATTTAGTCTGTAATGGCTTGCAGAAACTCCTAATTTCAGTATGGAGGGTTTAAAAAAGACTTGTGTGTCTGTCAATAGGCATAAGTAGAAAGCAAACTTATATTACACAACTGAAAAAAGAAAATTGGAGCATATCTGTAAGGAATTCCTCCCCAGTAAATATCTTGCATAATTTAACCATCAGCTTGTACCCAGCACAAAGGACTTTTTTTTTTTATCCTGACTTCTATTAGCTCAAGGTTGTGCAGGTCTGTAACAAACATTTGCCCATCAGTACATTTTGCATGTCTTATTCTCTTGACAAAAGCAAAGCAATTCAGCAAATAATCTTAAAACACAATTGTTTGTCTACCTCTGGTATCATCTAGTTCAGCCCCATGCTTAGAATAGAGTGGCTACTGCAGGTTACTCAGGGCTATGTCTAATCAGGTTTTGAATACCTCCACGAATGGAGCCTTCACAACCTAAGACACCTCTTCATTTATTTCATTATCCTGACAATAAAGGATTTTTTTTTTCCCCTATCTTTAAAATGAATGCTCTGCATTTCAGTCTGCACCCTTTCCCTCTTGTCCCACTGTAACTGATCATTGCTGAAAAGAGCCTAGCTCCATCCTCTTTACATCTTCTCTTCAGTATTTATAAACTCTGAGAGCTGATTTCCAGTTGGTTGGGCCTCAAAGTTATACCTCACAGGATTACTCTTCTCCAGGTGCAGAACTTTGAATTTTCCATTTTTGAACATGTCTTGAGATTTCTGTCAACACTCTGAATAACAGCACAACCAGCTGGTGTATCCAACAGTCCTCCCATTCCTGTCCTCAGCAAAGATGCCCAAGATGTGCTCTGCCCCATCATTCAGGTCAGTAAGGAAGACGTTAAGTAGTATTGGATCCAATATTCCTAAAGGTCAGTCTTAGTAGTAAAGATCAAGTCCAAGAACATAAAGTAGACTTTGTCCCTGCAGGGTAGAGGGCATGAAGATGGTAAGAGAAAAATTTGACTAGAAAAGGTAAATGCTTTTTCTTGCATGTTCAAACAGCTATCAAGTCCGGGAATTTCTCTCTAGCATTGCTTTTAAACAGCACTGATATAAAATACCTTCACACGCCCAGAGAAAGCAAAACGCCTGCTAAACAAAAGATGGTTCAGAATGATTTCTCCAACTTTATTACAAAGAGCCAGAATCAGTGTCATCCCACAGCACATTGATTGCTGATTTTTTCAATCATTTTCATATATGATAGTCTTTGTGTTGCAGAAATACAAAAAGGTAGAGAAATACTTTCAGAACATGCTATATCAGAAATGAAATAATTAAAGATCAAATACTATTTGCACCTCTCATAAATTGATGCTTGATTAAACATGGACAAAAACGATGAAGAAAAAATCCCTCATCAGTGAGCTTGAACAGTGAAAACTAAATAGAGTAAATAAAGACAAATACATGAGATTAATTTTTTTTTTTTTTTATCTCTAAATCCCATAAGATGTTTTTATAAACAAAAGTGAAACAATGAAGCCTGAAATAAATGCAGCTTGATTTCCTGTGGATTTGTACCTCATTATTTAAGCCCTGAGTTGAGCTTTTCCTCTGGTATGTGAATTTATAACCTTTCACAAAACATGAGCTCTCTCTACTGTTTTTCTCTCTTTCAAAGTGCTTATGGGGTCTTATTTTTACAGTACTACCAAGAACTCAATTATCTTTGATACTTCTGTTCTTCTGTCAAACTTGGTTGACATCAGATATCAGGTTCAAAAGTTATTAGACGAGACATTTAGACAGATACACATAGATAAAACGAATGCAAAGAATGTTATTTCTGTAAAGAAACAAGGCTAAAAATATTTCAAAAGATAAAATTGTTGTATATGTTCAATTTCATGGACAGGGAAATCTGTGACTCCTGCATGCTTATGATACAGAAATCTTAAGGAATAAGTCAGACTTCTGTTTTTCAGACAAAAAAAATAACAATACAAGACTCTCTGGCAGTTAAAATCGTTTCAGCAATAGTACTCTGACTGTTGAAAATCTCTACAAAATAACAGCAAATACTACTCATGCTAAAGAAAATCAGCTTCTTATGAAAACGATGTTGTGAGCTCAGCCTGCTACTTTCACATTATATAAGGACTACAGGGTTCACTCCAGTAGTTTCTGAAGTGATCTCCACTTTCAAGAGACTGGTAATCTGATTTTATTATTATTATTTTTTTTAATATTTAGGTCACATATAATGTGTAATTTTGGATTAAATTTAAAAGTGCAGATAAGCTGCCCCATTTTTATTTATCCTTCTACACTTTTTACATCTAAACAACATGGAAGCAGTGTATCCAGAGTTTTCATTTTGATAAATAAAGCACACAAAGTAAGATTATTATAATGAATTTTATGGCTTTTAATGCAAGGGTTATAGTCTCTTATTAGAAAAATAGACTGCCTTGATTTTTTAAAGATTCAAAGATTACTTCTCTAACACAGGCAATGTCTTTGCATGTATTCATTTATGAAAGGAATCACAAATGAAAAGATTAACCTGACCACTGAGGACACATTTAATATAAGCCTACCTGAGGCTTGTCATTACCCGTATGGCATTGCTGACCTTGAAAAGCTTTCACGTTAACCAGAAAAGGTGGTACAGATCTAGGATGCAGAACTCAAAAAAAAAGCATTCTTTGTGACATAATTATCACATTTCTGCCTTAAAATGACACCTAGCTTTGTTCTTAATAGTTAATTTATTCAATAGTCTTAATTAGAAAAAAAAGCCGAACATTTATATGAAGACTTTGCCTGTGACAAGAACAGCAGAGATAAAAATATCACACTGCCTAACCTCTCTTGACAGAGAAAGTCAAAGACAGAAGGGCACCTTCCAGCACCCATTCCTGAAGAGAAGTTTGTATAGCAGAAACAGACTGCAAAAGGAGGCCTAGTATCATAAAGGGACAGGCTGAGTCACATGTCAGCACCTGTGGTACCACAGTGCCAAAGCTACATGGGACAGGAGTAGATGTCATCTAAGAAATCCTTTCCTTTAAGAGGGAAGCAGCCTTCTGAAAGGAGAGCTTCCCAGCTTCCCTGCCTCTGAAAACTCTTATAGCTGACACTCTTTTGCAAACTTCTGCATACAGGTCAATGTCTGACAGTTAGTTAAGCCACTTAAGTAAGAACCACAGCATTTTTAGCAGCAAGATGAGTAAGTTTTATAAAAGTCTCCATATTACAGAGGCAAAACTCTGATACTTTTTATTATTTTCTGGATTAAAAGTTGTTTCAGTTCCATGAGAGTGAATACCAATAAATATCAATCAATTAAAGAAATGCTTACCTCAACATCTAATTTTTTGGATATTTAGGATCAGTTTTTGCTTGTACTGAACCACTGGAACATACAGTGCCTTTGTGCTTTGTACCTCTGAAAGCCTGCCTTCAAGAGAACAAAAACATTAGCAAGATAAAAAAAGAAAAATAGACTGCATAGTATGACATTTTTTTAGTCAGATGAATAAGCAGATTCAGCAAAATCAAACATTGCTCATCAGTAGCTAACATTTCTCTGTGATCTCCATGGTTCATATTTCTTGTACAACAACAATCATAAGACATCTAGTTCTTTTATTTAAAGGTTATTATTCATGTGCATTCATTTATAATATGTTGCTTGAATTTATTCCAATACCATTAAATTGTAAGGATATGATTTCAAACAGAAGCAAGATTTGCCCTTTTTCTTCTGAAACTCTCCCTTTAGCTGCATCTACAGCTGTTTGGGATGGCTGCGATGTAATGCTGCAGTTCTCAGATTCTGTAACTCAAACCATGAAAAGTAAAAATACTGATAATTTTTTCACCAATATCACTGTAACAAGACAAACAAAACATACTCTTCATGGAAGTGGGAAAGCAGACATGATAACATGAAAGATATATAAAAATTATCTAAAAAAAGATTATATGTAAAAAACGGATTGTTTTTTAATCAGTCTTAGCTGTGAAATTCACACAAAAGACAGAAAAGGCAAAAATGGCAGCACATGTAGCATTTGCCCAGGGTACTTTTATCAGGGAGCTGCCTGAGCTAGGCTCTTCTCAGCAGCCCATAGTTACCCTCAGTTCATGCTGGTCAGGTCTTTTACCAGGAGAGTTTTCCTTTCAGTATTTATGTAGTGCAGCAGGCAACTGTTTACCTCAGAGGCATAAAAGTAAATCCGGATGTGTTTGATCCATAGTGCCACAGTGACTCTGTTGCCTATGGAAACAAAGGCTCCTTTTCATGGAGTTCACACAAGAAGCCCTGAGATGCTAGAGAGAGCCATCTATTTCAGCCACTGTAATGTTAGGTATTTTGCTGATATGTGTGTGTGTATATATATATATACACATATATAAACACACACATATATACATATGTATATATGCTTGTACACGCACCCATAATTCTTACCTCTGTTATATTCCAGAAGGATCAGATGAGACAGTTCCTGAGTCTCACATTAATTTTAAATTACTTTATTTAAACAACATAATCCCCTTTTAAACAAATTAATATTTGAAATCTAATAAATGTTCAAGCTGTAACCGCCTGTTTTTTCCTCCACCTTTCACAGTATAGGTTGTTACGTGCTTTGTCGACAGCAGCTTGGCAAATTTATTTCATGCTTACTCACAAATTTGGATTTTGTAGATGACTCTCAGGAGGGAGTTTTGGATAGTAGCAAAGAATGGATAACATGCCAAAAGCACCTTTCCTAAAGCTTTCCTTTGAAAATCTCTTATTCCTGACGAGACTGTAACTTCCTAAGCATCATTCAGATGTAGAATTCTGTACATTTTACATATAACTGATCAAGTATGTCACATTTCCACAAATCTTAGTGCACAGCATTTGTTACAGCTCTTCCCAGCGAGAGCTTGAGTAGATACAAAAGGAATATGGCCAGATACAAGACTTGAATGCAAAATGCATGACATTCTGCTCTCAGAAGAACACTAGCTTAAATCTTCAGTTGCTGTCATCTGCAGCTCAACCATTGGAAAGAATATGCTTCAGTACCCCCTCCTTTTTTACAGATATAATTAAAGAATATATTCAAGAAATTCATAGTCCATGTGACTTTGAAGACCTCTTGTATGAACCTCCAGATTCCAATTTGAGAAGGCAAGTAGTAGCTAACAGCTCGTTCTTAAATTGTCTTACCTACAGTTTAGCTGTTTGTATAACATGCTTATAAACTTTTATATTGGAGCACATGTGTACTTATATTACTAGATATATAAATGAATGAACAGTCCTTAACACCTTCACCTAAACTGGGTATCCTCAATTTCACATTTCTGTGGAAGCTTTAGTTTATACACAGTGATAAGGTTTCACAATAAATTTCAAGGAAATTGTTTTAATTCATTTAAATCTGAGTATTATTCTTCGTAAAGAACCTAAGATCCAAGAAATCTTAAGTATCTATAAAAATATTCATATACATACGAGCAGAAAACTTCAGAAGTAGTTCTGACAGTGGAGACAGAAAAACTTCTCCAGTTTACAGTAGATGACTAAGATCACTTGAATGATGTACTGATAATGATGTACAGAAGACATACAAAGAGGACAGGCTGGACTCATTACTAAAACGAATTTATTACAAATATGCCTCACTTATTAGTTCAAAAAAAAAAATCAATATTTTGGGTACAGTTTGTTTTGCTAAAATTCCCACATAGCATGAAAAAGACACAGTTTGTTAGTGACCTGAAATTTCCTTTGCTTTTTTTCCACTAATTATGTTTGGGGATTTTCGTTTGCTCCTATTGTGTTTTCCTTAGAAAATTAAGAATGCTGGAATTCAAACAAGAGATTTATGAGCAAACTTTAAAAAAAAAAAAAAATTTTTTAAATAAATCTTTCTGTTGATCCTGAGTTATGCCACTATTTGGAAGAAAAGAGCTGCTGGTAACTCCGAGAAAATATCAAATGTTATAACTGACCTGTATGTATATTAGATGCTGATTCAGCCACCTCTTCAATATAAAGTACATAGTACTTACAAGAGAAATCCTACTGAAGATAGGATGATTGTGCACTAACAACTGCCTTAATATAAGGGTGGCAGGTTGGGGGCAGGAAAAGCAAGACTTATTCAACTCATTGCTTCTTAGTGAAGCACAAGAGAACTGCTGGGTAGCAGCTAACTTCATTTCCCAAAAGCACTAAGAGATAAGCACTCCAGAAGCCACCTGAATGGTCAAGAGCTATAAACAACTCACAACAGCTACTTGGGATGTAATGGGATCACCTTCAAGAAATACCTACCAAAACATATAGCCAGCTCTTCAGAGATATTTTCAGGTGTTTTTAGTCCAGAGCTATGTTTGTTGCTACATCTATCTTTGGACTTGCTCTGCAGCCCAGATGCTTGTCCATGTGCAACGTCGGAAAACACTAGAGCGAAGAAGTGTGAACACTGCAAGATGCCTTGCTTTTCTTAGCTTGCTATAATTTGCTAGAACTTTTTTGTTTCATGACACAAGACCTTATGTCAGCATCAGAATCTTCTTGATGTTCAGAGTTGCATCTATTTGACAAGAATGCTTCTTGAATTCTCTCATCTCCAATATAAATTACAAACAAAGTATTCATGCTGATTAACAGCTGGCAAGATTTAGGCCTCCTAGTAGATACACTTCACAAAGTACGGTAGTAAATCTCAACTTATTTTCTCAAAACGTACCTCCTAGATTGACAGTCTACTTAAATTAATTCAGGATTTTTCTCACTATGTAGACAATAGAACAAAAGACAGAATGCTGTTTTCTAAGGGGACAAATTACATGTTATACATTTTTGCAACAGCAATTTGCAAAGTTTTTTATTCAAATTACATTCAGGGTATCTGACAAAGCAATAATTATACAACAAATGCATCATCCTAAAAAAATAAGAAATGGGAGACAGCAATTATAAATAAATGGCAAAGGTCAGATGGACATGTTCAAATAGATGGAATAACAAAACTTCTGAAATATAATCTTAAAAAATATAGAATAAAGGAAGATTTTCAAATGAAAGTCCAGTTTTAACTTCTAAACCAATTTTTAAATGTCTTTTTTACTTACTTATTTTTTAAATTCCACCTCTAACAAGGGGAAGTAGAACAGAGAAAAAAATTACATGCAAAAGCAGGCATATTTGACAAGTTGGGTAATACATGAAAAGAACTTAAAGTATTATGTTCGGCTTAAAAGATTAAAAGATAGAAAAATAAAAGTGTTCCTCCTAATTAGAGAAGCCATATGCTCTATGAAATAAATCCTGGTAGTAGGATAGTTTGTAATTACAGCCTTATTTTTAAGCAGATCCTGTTAATTCTGTTATACGCTTTATTTCTTACTTATTGACTATAATATTAAGATCACCGTGTTATGAAGAAGTGCACTTCACAGTTGAAATAGCATCACAGAAGTAATTTTTCTATCCCTCTTCCTACAAACAAGAGATAATAAACTTGGCTTTACACATTAAAGGTTACTTTCTTGTCTACAGTGAAAACAGAAAATAAAAATATGAAAAAAGAAAAGAATCCCCATAATGAATTCTCCTTGCTCTGAGTATCCTGCCTATGTCACAATAATTCAAGGTGTTCATATGGAAATAAACCTAGAGCATTGCTTACACATTCTACAGCCAGAGTGATAAAATGGGGGGTAAGTCATCCAAGCACCTAAGTCCTGAACTGTGGGAAATCACTTTTCTGTTGTTGATGTTAACAGTTTTTAACTGAGTAGTATGAAGTTGTTTTTTTTTTTCTAACAGCATATGTCAAAAGTCTTTTTGGTAAAATTTGCCCCATACTTCTCTCTTTTGAATTAGAGTATCTTAAATAAAATGCTGACCTCAAAATTCCAAAAAGTCACTGCCATCCTTATACATCAATTAGGAAAGCATGTAATGAGGAAATTTCACATAAGGAGCTATCATTTTCATAGAGATACAGATATGTTTCTATAACTACATAATTCGTAAGCATCAGTCACAGTTTCTCCATATCTCCCAACAGAACCAAGGTCAAACAGCCTTATAGAAAAACAAGAATCAGCCCATAAGTATGTTAGAAGCATAGTTCACTTGAAAACAAAACTTCTTGCTGCGAAATTTAATGTAAATAAATTCAAGACAACATTTGATCATATTTTCAGTCCTGCGATGCTCACATTCCCTTTCTTACCAAGCCCTGAGCACCTCACAGGTTACTGTTCAACTTCCACATTTCACTGGTACTAGGACTTACCTGTATTCACTGCCACCAGTTCCACATGCACTGTGCATCTCACTTCCCTTCAGGCATTAACATCAAGCAGCTGAAACAGGTTTACATTAGTTCTGCTGTTCTGATTGCTAAGCAAAAAGGACAGGAAATCGTTATAGTCAAAGCATTTCTAAAAAAGGTCACTTTAATACAAAATTACATCAATCACCTCAAAGAAAAAAAAAGTACATATCAATTGATGCCATTCATTCTTGGGCAAATATCAGTTTTAGTTTGAAAAAGTTAAGGCAGTCCTGGAGAAAAATCATTAAAAGTTAAACAAGTCTTTCAAGACAGGTTTAAATCCCATGAAAGAAGACATAGTGGTTCATATGATAATCAAAATGGTTTCTTGAAAACTTTTTACTGAAGACATTATGGTGAAAGTAGAGTTAATACAAGAGAACCAGTTAGAGAAAATGATTAGGGATGAGTATCGCTCATTCTTTACTCTGGTCTGCTTACATTCACCATAGAACCCAGGATGTTAATTCACATATACGTGAGACGATACAAGTGAAACAGCTCAGAATTATTATACCTGTAATGCATAATACATGCATGTATTCAAGACTTAGACACACCTAGAGAATGTACCTAACTTCATACAAAATTTCAGGTGCTGATTTTGACACGGTCACATTTTAAGAATATATTTTGGAATTGTAGACAAGGCTAAACTGTCTAAAAGTTTTTTTGCAATGGCTAATGTATCTGTATTATAAATGAGATACCAGATTTCAGCCATTAGTGCTCAAATGTGACAGCTAAAGTCAATAATTAAACTTCCAGTGACTTTAGTGGAACAGGACCGTGCCCATATGTCTTAATTCAGCCTGTGACCCGCTTTTACGCATGTCAGAGTACATAAGCATATGTTTAGCTTTAAATATGCATTTAAATGACACTGAAAACCTTAATCATATGTTAAGTGATTGGGGGAAGAAGGGTGTTTGAATAGTTTGGAGACTGATACAAAGGCAGTGGATTCTACACGTGAAAAAAATTCTAGTTAAATGTTATATATTTAATAATTAATCTCTGTATAATTTACAAAGACATGGAAAACAATATATAAAGACATGGAAAACAATATAATTGTAAAAAATTTTCAAAAACAGGGTAGATCACAAATCTCAACAACTTTTCCCTATGTGCTGTAACAAGGTCCATATTCTGTGACATTGTACTTGCAGAGTTTTAGCTGCTGGGATTAGTCAACTGCACAGGTTTAACTCTAACTGAAGGTTTTTACAGGGTTAAAGGCAAGCCTTATAAATTTGCATGCATGTTATCATTTTAAATAAACATCCTCAGTTGTTTTAATTTTGATCAGTCTGTAACATATCCATATACCGATTTGTAAATTCAAAACATGTATTCAAGCTGCTTGATTTCAAATCATCTAGAACACCGCATTTTGAAAAGGCTGGTTCAAAATGGAATGTCACTGAAAAGATTACAAATGAAGGGTCAGTGAAGGAAAAGGATGCTCCAGTGAGAAGTACTGTGAAAAGAGAGCTGAGAACATGAAGGAAGAACTATTGAGTTAAAAAAAAAAAAAAAGAGAAGCACAGTGAGAAAAAAAATCTCATATACTGATGAATAAGGGGCAAGAAGCTTACACTGGCCACCAAGCTGTGCCATCATCACTTTCTGAGGTCTGGGATACTCACACAGCATTAATCTGGCAGAGCAGTAGTTTTGAGAGGAGGCTCACTCAAGAAAAGTTTACTATATTAGAACTATGGCTCATCAGCTACAAAATACCTGCTTACAAGCTTTGCAACTCAAACTCCATGCTTTTGTTTCTTCTTGTCAACTGTGTACAACCCAATATGCATGAATATAACAAGGATTTCAGCCACTTGAAAACAACCAATCTTTTCTAATTTAGTAATGCAAACTTCCTAATTCAGAAGCATACCTGATCCACTAAACTTGCCACTAAGTTCACAAACACACTGTGGTCTCTACGCTAGAGCCACTCTTGAAGATATGGAGCTGCCTTAAAGTGCTGCAGAGATGCTGCTACTCTGTGGCCCTGGAAAAATCATCATCATTTAGCAGCAATGGTGGAATCTGTGCTGCTTTCTTTCTGGTTTTCCCAGACATGCTTTTAAAGGAGATGGTAGTAATTAGCCCTAAATGCTTTATGTGCTGTAAAGAAATGTAGAACACATCCAGCAGGTAAAGGTTTTTTAGAATTCTCTGCCAAACAAAGAATGAATTGTCTGGAATACTGAGAACCCTTTACTTATTAAAAATGAAATTGGGGCATCGTATCAGTGGAATATAGTTTGTGTTCTGTCAGTGAGACATATGTAATTATGTTATGAAGGTACAGATTCAGACTATAAAATCAACTTTCCATTTCTCTTAATAAGAGACTGTTACAAAAGTAAATTAAGTTTTCACCACTGTACTCTTAAATAAGAAGAAAACATTTTGATTCTCTTTGCTAAAGAAAAAGTTCATACAGTGCAGAATTTTGTATAATTTTGATAGGAAAACTTAATTTATATAGGGAAAGGTAACAGGAAGGGTAAAGATATACAAAGACAACTAGCATTTCCATAAATTAAAAAAAAAAGAAAAAATAAGCCTTTGACACTTCAGTTGTGTTTTCAAGAAATAAAAGAAACAAACTTGCGACTCCCCAAAAAGGCAGTGAATATAGACACTGAAAAATCACAACAGCATTTGAAAAGAAATCAGGATCTTATTTTATGACCATAAGACCATGGCCTGCCTCTTTTATTATTTAAGGGGTCTTACTTTTCCATTCAGTCAAGAAGACTTCAAGGTCAAAATATCTGTATGTTTAATGCCACTTTAGATGCCAATGAAGGGAGATTACAAGAAAAATGAGAACCCTGGGGCTTAACAGGCCTCTTTTGGATAAATGTACCTGGTAAGGGCAAGGTTGTATAAATGAAGAGAATCCATCATCTGACGCTGCTGCATTGGATCTATTTACATTTAAGAAAAAAAGAATAATACAAACTAGTGAAATGTTTGAAGATCATCTGTATGCAGAAAACAACTTAACAGTGAAGAAATGTGCAATAATAAGTCATATTCTTCCTTCGTTTCAAGAAGGAGGTAAGAAGTTCTTAAGGAAACAGATGAAAACAGTTTGATACAGAACTGCAAATAAGAGTAAACTGTTTTCAAATTGGTATAGTCCATTTCCTGGAAATATAAAGAGATTCTGAAGGTAACCCAAGACTGAAGGGAACGTGGTTGGAATCCAAGAACCCAGGAAAAAACTGATCAACATCTGAAGAACACTGTTAAATCTATTAGCATCAGAAAACACGCACTGAAGTGTACAGTCCCAGGAAGTGTTTTGAACATATTTCCAATGTTCACCATCAAGTCAGACACAGATGTGGAGAAAAGTTTCCCTGCCATTAAACCACAGCATTCCATAATAGAGTTATAGTCAGAATTTTTTTCCTGAAACACACAGAAAGAGTTGTTTCTCTTGCCTTGGCCAAATGGATCTTTTAGGACGCCACAAGGTCCATTATCCTCAAGGATAGAGGTGTTTTCTTCCCCCTATTAACTTGTTGGATTTATAATTTACCTTGTATCTAATTGGTCATTATCTTATCTTTCTATAACTAGAAGCTCAACATGCTCACAAACAATTTGTTCTGTTAGGCATAAATGCTGCATTGAACTCAACAACTACAATTCAAGTAAAGAGAGTACAGATGCTAATGTCCTTTTCTCAGTACTCTGATGGAAGTAAAAGATGGTTTCCTGGGAAGTTCAAGGTCTAGAGGGCATACTAAATACATTTCTGTCTATAATAGTATCTTCCTTGTTCAGAATCAGTGACATTCCTCTCTGATATGCAAAGCTATGTAATGCTAACATCAACTATATCAAAGAGGGAATTATTACTATTATTACATCAAATTTCACTGTCATTTGAAAAGGTTGTGCCTTTGCTTAGAAACAGTGAACTGCTGTAATAGGATTAAACATTTAGGAAGGCAAAAAAAAAAAAAAAAAAGAACTGGTGCAGGGATTAGGAACCTACTCAATTTCAGGAAGTAAAAGGTGTCAGGAAAGAAAGAAGAGCCCTTTACAGGAGTACTTAATTGAGGAAAGATACTGAGACCAATGACCAAAAGACAGATATGGAGCAGACAGAGCAGCTGGACAGAAGATTTAAGGTATCAGAGTTTGACCGCTAGTTCAGTGTTAACAAATAGCTTTGTTTACATAAGTTTCTCTGCCAAGAGGACCCCATAAACTAATGGAAAATTCTACAAGCCCATATGCAAAGAAATGAAACAAATATTTCTTATATGATGCAAATATATTTCTTACATTACACTGCAGCATTCATCTTTCACAGGAATACAGGAATTGTTTTGTCCATGAGAACTCCCTTATCTTTTCTAAAGATAAAGATAAGATTTAGATCTTATCTAAATCTTTTCATCATAGCACATCTCTCATGTAGGACAAATTACGGGCAGAGTACTTTCAGCCAGAACGTTGCCCTATGGTATTTGTCATCTCAGCCATGAGACATCGGAAAACCAAAATCAGCAGGAGCAGATGTTGAAATATGTATTTTAGTAACTGAATACTACATACAGGAGACTGACACTCATCACCACTTCCAAAAGGTACCTAAGCATCAGGAAAGAATTTGAGTATAGTACTGCAAACACTCAGTTTGGTCTCATTCTCATTCATCACCTTAAACAGCTTGTAGATTGTTGTTCTTTATTATTTTTTGGACTAAGCACTTCACAAATTACAGAAGACAAGACAAAGGCTACGTAGTGCTCAGAGGACCTAATACACGCCCTTGTTTGCAGAAGTAGCATAAGACCTATAAGCAAATGAAGTTGCAAGGCTCTCCACTGACATTCTTGTCAAAGCTTAATATGTTCTTTCATATATAAGAGCCAGAGTATCAAGCTGGTATTTTGTTTTCTAAGTGCTCCAGAAATGTGGACCTCCCAAGGTACAAAAGTAGATGGAGAAATAAGTGCCAGTGACCTGCTGAGTCTGAGCCCACCAAAGTCGATGAAGAGACTGTTTTAAAAACCCC